CACAATTACTCCTGTCATACCCTTTTTACACCTTTCACTCCTACCCCACCACATGAATCTTTCACTCCTACCCCGCCACGTGAATCTTCACGCACACTTCAACCACAATCATTTTTTTTACATCTTTTACTCCAGTCCCATCACAATAACCCTCTTAACCTTTTCTTCCTACTTTTATCACGGCCCTATCATATAACACTTTCCTACATCTATTGTACCAGTTTTCGATTCTGCCATAATGACTTTAACTTTGACATCAGTTTCAACGCTACACACGTGGAAATATCCCTCCTGCTAAGACTTCACGAACATGGATTACGTTCTACAATAAAACTGGCACCAGAGCAAAAAGAAAAACAAAACAAACAACCAACCTAAAGGAATATACTCTATTATGTACAAAAAGAAATTAAAATATATTACGATGACGTCACAGTCACACTAAATTGTACCTATGAACACAAAAAAAAACCATTGTTCAAAATCACATTCAAGGCAGCTTTGAACGAGTCACGGCAATGGGTACCTTGCCTTCCACGTGGTCAAGGTGGTCTGTACATCAAGTTTCACAGCACTGTGAAAGTACTCGTCAGAACAATAGAAGCGACATTTGAAAAATCTGATATATATATATATATCTTATTTTATAAATAAACCCACAGAAGCTGGAAATTGTCACAACATTTTCTTTTGACTCAACCGGGCGGATGTAATGACGTAGTTGCCTAGGTGAAGGAAATATATTACTCCAATAAACTGATATAAATATGTGATTTTTCTTTTGTTGGATATTTTCAGGAGTTTTCCTAACCTAAACAAAGCCATAAATCATATCTTATCATTCAATGTGCTTCTAAAGCTTTCTTTTGATCTGCTTCTGTCATTTCAAGAAAGGAAATTTTTAATGTTTTTTTTTTTGTATTATAAGCTACCGTGTATTATAATTGGACGTTCAATTCAATACATAATTATGTTTAATTGATAAATTGACAATAACAAAGTGCACATGTTGATGACGGTTTCACTTGAACAGGGGGTTATTTTTTCAAAAAATAAAATAAATTAAACAACTACACAAGACTCATAGAATAACCCTGAAAGCTTTTAAAAACTTTTAATTTGGACTACGTGTGCGTGAAGTTTAATTTATCACTCGTTGCTCGAGAAGCGCGCTTTTGTTTCACTTTCTTCAAAGTTATTTAATCAGTTAAAACTCTGAAAACAATGAAGTGGTGCATCCTTAACTTAAAATAACAATAATTGATTGCTTTGTTATATGAAATAATAGGATATTGATAATGAAAGTTTATACTGAGCTTTAAACAACGCAAATAACAATTATGGGGTACTTTTAATGTAATAAGAATATACTTTTTTTTCAAGTCGTAATTAAATTTAAGATATGTAGCTTAATTAAACTTACAGATTATTCAAATCAACAAATCACATCAAAATCTTAATTACACAGACATTCAAAACACAGTGAACCTAAACATTTATTTTTTTAACCTTAAACACAATATAATAACAACACTTATAAAGCCCTGTTCTTTACAGTTGATCAATCTTTCGAGACTCTGAACCTGAAATATAATATAGTAACAACACTTATAAAGCCCTGTTTTTTACAGTTGATCAATCTTTCAAGACTCTGACCCTAAAATATAATATAGTAACAACACTTATAAAGCCCTGTTCTTTACAGTTGATCAATCTTTCAAGACTCTGAACCTGAAATATAATATAGTAACAACACTTATAAAGCCCTGTTCTTTACAGTTGATCAATCTTTCAAGACTCTGAACCTGAAATATAATATAGTAACAACACTTACAAAGCCCTGTTCTTTACAGTTGATCAATCTTTCAAGACTCTGAACCTGAAAATATTGGCTCTCAGGTTAACAGTCCTCAAAGAAAGAGTTAACTGTAAAAAATGGAGATATTTAAGGAATCCCAGTGTCTTATATTGTCTTTCAGGTTCAGAGTCTTGAAAGATTGATCAACTGTAAAGAACAGGGCTTTATAAGTGTTGTTACTATATTATATTTCAGGTTCAAAGTCTTGAAAGATTGATCAACTGTAAAGAACAGGGCTTTATAAGTGTTGTTACTAAATTATAACTAACAATAATATAAACCTTATAAATCACTGTTTTTCACTGTTAACTCTTTCTTTGAAGACTGTTAACCTGAGAGCCAATATACTAACAATAATATAAACCTTATAAATCACCGTTTTTCACTGTTAACTCTTTCTTTGAAGAATGTTAACCTGAGAGCCAATATACTAACAATAATATAAACCTTATAAATCACCGTTTTTCACTGTTAACTCTTTCTTTGAAGAATGTTAACCTAAGAGTCAATATACTAACAAACCTTATATAAACCTTATAAGTCCCAGTTTTCACTGTTAACTCTTTCTTTGAAGACTGTTAACTTGAGAGTCAATATACTAACAATAATATAAACCTTATAAGTCCCAATTTTCACTGTTAACTCAGCTTCTGAAAACTGTTAACCAAAAATGAATCATTTCTTGGTGTAAGTCAAAAGATATAAATTTGTAGTAATTCTCCACGTATTTCATTATATCCCAAATTAAAATCAATAATCTAGTGAAAATAAAAGTTACATACTCTCAAGACAACTGTTTACTTTGAGGGGGCTCTTCGAGAAGTACATTACACCACTAGTTAATTGTTCATATCCAGAAGGTTAACTTTCGCAACAAGTAACAATATAACATTATGGTTTTGTTCGTCTCGGTTGAGATGAGACAGAGAAACTCTTTCTGACAAGAATACTTTTTGTCACGGAGACAACAATGACGCAATTACAACAGTTACACCTTCCCCCCGTCCCTGCCTGTTGGTGACCTGGTAATTCATCCCTCAACAAAAATTATTTAAAGCAGCATTATATGTGCTATTGTAGCTACAAAACCGAATTTTAGTGAATCATGGTAAGTATGACATATCAAAGAACGAACAATATTGTCAATAGTCCCATAATGCAACAGGCTAAAGTGAGATAATAATAACAATAATAAATTAGAATGGACGAAATGAACGAAAGTTTAGAACAGGAATTTGACTTGGAATTCATACCGATAGTATGCTGTATCTGGAAAACAGACTTTTTTTAAATCTCAGTTTAATCCAGTCTGCTAAGTTGGATGAGGTTTGACGATGTAGTAAGATAAATGGTCATTTCATTTTTAACTTACTAATAGCTCGCTCTTGAGACTTAAGTGGAGGTCTAGATGCTGGAATGGGAGACCGTCCTTTTGATGGTCGACGAAAGCCGGTAGCTGAAGTTTCCACTTCGGACATAACACCTGGATCACCTTCGTATACACTGGAAGGGATCTGATAGGGAGACTGCGACCCCTGGCGATTGATTTGATTCTATAAAAAAAAAAAAAATATGTAGTAGATATTGCTAAAATGATCTAAAGTTATGTAGATGGAGGTAAATGAAATACAGAAAAACATTTCATTATCAACTTATGACGTTTTATTTATTTATTTATCTACTTTAGACGTCTTTCAGCGACACATCTTCGAACTTTAATGTCTTTAGAGATGCAACATCTGCTACATAGTTAATAATATCAGTTTTACCTTATTATCACCCATTTTTTCCATGATTAAGCTGATAGAATTTTCTTGTGTTATATTACCATAAAGGACTATTAAGTAAAGTTCCGGACTACAGAACGGAAGGTCCAAAGTTCGAACTCGCAATATGACACCGAACGCTTTTAGTTCTGGGCGCGTTATAGAAGTGGAAGTCAATCCCACAATTTGGTTAAGAGTTGTTATGTAGACGACGAGTTCTGTTGATTGGTTGTCTTTATTCTGGCCAGTAATTCTAAATTAGGGACGGCTATGCTCAAACCTTGGGTCCTCGTCCCGACAGGTTAGAGTCTATTTTGTAAAGATACCGTTAAGGTTGAAAGTACCAGTTACCACATTACCACTCTGACCCCTTAACACACATTCAAACAAGTGCTTCTGTAAAACATGTAAAAAATTCTACCTTTTTTAAAATTAAACAAATAATTCCTTATAGATGTATTGACTAGTAACTGTATTTGTGAAATTTCCAAATCTCGTGTTTATGTGTGTTTGTACACAGAGCCACATTGGGCTATCTGCTGTGTCCATAGCGGGGAATCTAATCCCGGATTTTTGCGTCGAAAGCCTGTAAACTACAGACAGAAGTGAAAATTAGTAGTCCCCAACTACTAATTTTCACTGCTGTAGACACTACTGTACAAAAAATTAAATAGAAAGTAACTCGAAACGAAAATATATACAGTGTTCACCATTGTTACTTTATTGTGAGGGACTACTAATTTTCACTGCTGTAGACACTACTGTACAGAAAATTAAATAGAAAGTAACTCGAAACGAAAATATATACAGTGTTCACCATTGTTACTTCATTGTGACTCACAATAAAGTAACAATGGTGAACACTGTATATATATTTTCGTTTCGAGTTACTTTCTATTTAATTTTTTGTACAGTAGTGTCTCTTTATCTTATATAGGAACTTCACTAGTACACATAATTATAAGATAAAAATTGAAAACAAATTAAGTTGCAATAATTGTATTAATTATTTCGATCAGAAAACGATATGCATTATGGTAATTAGCGACTCCAATACCTTCATGAGAGGCTCACCCTCCCTCGTATTGCAAACTGAAATGTAATGTCACCCCTCTTCCCTCCTCACATTTACTTTAATTATAGTACTAGCATGTTGGTTCTTCGTGTCGTATAACGACGTTAATTGATCATGACTCTTGGTTCTTCGTGTCGTATAACGACGCTAATTGATCATGACTCTTGGTTCTTTGTGTCGTATAACGACGCTAATTGATCATGACAGAACCTCATTTGTCCGAGTTTTGATGCCATATTGTTTCTTTATCACAGACAGAGGGCCCCGGCATGGCCAGGTGGTTAGTGAGCTCGACTCGCAATCTGAGGGTCGCGGGTTCGAGTCCCCCTCCCACCAGACATGCTCGCCCTTTCAGCCGTGGGGGCGTTATAACGCGACGGTCATTCCCATTATTCGTTGGTAAAAGAGTAGCCCAAGAGTTGGCGGTGGGTGGTGATGACAAGCTGCCTTCCCTCTAGTCTTACACTGCAAAATTAGGGACGGCTAGCACAGATAGCCCTCGTGTAGCTTTGCGCGAAATTCATAACAAACAAACAAGTAACAACTTGTGGAAACAAAAGCGAACATTCCCACGCAGAAGCAACTATTCACACTTCTTAACATGCCTAATACGTTTCCTCATAACTACATAACTTCATTTGTCCAAGTAAGAAACAGCATTGTAAACCATTTACAGATGGCGCTTTTAACAAGCTATTTGTAAATTCAACAACGTTTTGCTAGGGTTTGTTATGGGATGGTCGGGAGTGGCCTAGTAATTAGCGTCCAGTCGTAGAATGGAGAATCTGAGGTTTGAGTTCACGATATACCACTGAACACGCTTCCACTTTCAGCTGTAGGTGTGTAATAAAAGTAACAGTCAATTCGCTATTGAGTTAAGAGTAGCCGCGAAAGCGGCGGGTGCTGATAGCTGGTTGCCTTACCTTTGTTAAGCAGTTTTGAGTTAGGTATCACTATTATATTAAATCATTACGATATATAACCGAAAGAAAAATAGCCTGCCAGACGACGATTTTTGGTTTCTTAAAATTTGTATTTCAACATGTGTTCTGTATTACTAGCATTAATTCCCACTGATAAATTTAACAAATAAACCTTAACAAAACTTTATCCCATCGTTATTCCATATGAAACATGAAGTATTGATATTTGTTTTTCAATAAAACGTATGTTTTTATTCTGTGTTTTGCCCACATACTACAATTCTAACAAACAGTTTTATTTTAAATTATCTTTATCTACAAGTTGTTCCCGTAAGATAGTGTGATCATATAATGTCTATGCTGCGCTATGAACGACCTAAGCAGGATTCTAGTCCTATTAAAGTCCTCAGGCTCTCCATAATAGTTTCGTGTTCACAATCAAGATACTTTCTTCCTCCTGCTCTTCTTGTGCCTCGCGCACGATATGAAACACGAAATAAATAGTATTTTTGAGGATAGTTTAGATAAGAATGTATACATATCGGAGTCTACGTGCATAAAAAAAATATTACTTGGTATACTAAAGTCGGCCTTTCCTTGAAACACCATTTTGTCCTATAGGAAAGCCACAAACCATATCTATTGGTATTTTTGTCTCGTATAAAAAATAACTTGTTTCTTTGTTGTGGTTAAGCACAGGGTCGTGACATGAACTATCTGTACAGTTCCCACCGTAGGGATCGAACCTCACATTCCAGTGTTATAACCTCTTCAAATGTACGACCGAACCACCTAGGGGGCGTATTTAAAAATAAATTAAAAGTTTCATATCCCTCACGTCATTTATAAATACACGATAACAGTAAACTAAAAGAATATCCAAGCCTTCCTACGTACAATGACTTACATTTGTGGCGTTTTTGTGTTGTTGTTGTTGTTTCTCTTACATAGCACTCCATATGGCAGGTTCATTCATTTTGTTAAAGAAGACAAATTCTAACAAAGCTTCCGAAAAAAGCGGGTACGTTCGTATAGCAGTTAATGTTATTATGTTTTAATTACTTACTTTACCAACGATTTGTAGATTTACTTTTATGATTTCACAGCCTACTGAGCAAAAACTAGGCCTGGTTGTTAATGGCGTCTTCTGAGGTAACGTCCTGTGACACATTACCTCAATTTGGTGAAATCGTCAAGCCTTTTTATTCAAAAAACAAATTATTAGAAGCGTAGTCTTGGTGGTACAGTTATTGGTCACTTTAATTTAAGATTTACCAATATCATCGTGGGTCATTTATAATAGTCTGGATTTGGTATGACATAACGTGTCTTGTTCGTTTGTTACACAATTACTTGTCGAGAATTACGGCTTGAATATTGATTCACAGACGTTGGCAGTGGATTACAGATATCAGCAGTGGATTACGGGTGTCAGTAATGGATTACAAAAGTCATTAGTTGATTACAGATATCGGCAGTGGATTACGGGTGTCAGTAGTGGATTACAAAAGTCATTAGTTGATTACAGATATCGGCAGTGGATTACGGGTGTCAGTAGTGGATTACGGGTGTCAGTAGTGGATTACAAAAGTCATTAGTTGATTACAGATGTCGGCAATGGATTACAGATATCAGTGGATTATTATAGATGTCATTAGTGGATTACAGTGTTGGAGCTTACAACTATCAAGCTCATTAGAGTTACGATCCCTCGAAACCGAATCCGCTGATTTTGCTCGACAAGGAAGATGACCAAAGTTCATGTCATGCTCTTAAAACAAGTTTTTCACAACACAAATGCGGAAATTCAGCATCGTGAGGAGAACATGTTCAACACTAATGTTAAAGTAAACTCAAGACAATCGATCCAAGCCATGAGAGTGTTCTCTACATCATTACAATAAGCACACTAAGCATTTTAACACACCATCACAACAGCAAATTAACCATTACAACACACCATCAAACAGGCCCACACTAACAATTATAACACACCATCACAACAGCAAATTAACCATTACAACACACCATCAAACAGGCCCACACTAACAATTACAACACACCATCACAACAGCAAATTAACCATTACAACACACCACCAAACAGGCCCACACTAACAATGTTTGATGGTGTGTTGTAATTGTTAGTGTGGGCCTGTTTGATTGTGTGTTGTAATAATTAGTGTGGGCCTGTTTGATGGTGTGTTGTAATGGTTAATTTGCTGTTGTGATGGTGTGTTGTAAAACATCACACAGGCCCACACTAACCATTATAACACACCATCAAATAGGACCACACTAACAATTACAACACACCATCAAACAGGCTCACACTAACAATTACAACACACCATCAAACAAGCCCACACTAACAATTATAACACACCATCAAACAAGCCCACACTAACAATTATAACACAACATCACACAGGCCCACACTAACCATTACAACACACCATCAAACAGGCTCACACTAACAATTATAACACACCATCAAACAGGCCCACACTAACAATTATAACACACCATCAAACAGGCCCACACTAACAATTATAACACACCATCATAATCTTTAATACACAAGTTTAATTGTATTATATCCATTTATCTCGTATTATTGGTAAATTTACAGACGAAAAACATCCAATAACATAATGCGACCATATCTCCTACTAAAGGTATATAGCACCATCAAGGTGATGTAGTATAGAGTTTATATTTAGTACACACACACACAAACTGTTAAAATATAACATTCAAAATCGAGAAAAAAATATCAAATTACTTTTT